ATCTCCCTAGTGCAATAGTCTTCCTTAATAAAGTCTTTCCTTACTAATGTTCAGATTTGAATTCCCCCTSTTCCTCACTGACCACCCTGCTTTACATTGCCCATAGGATTTTGTGCCTTTAATTCAATACCAATTGCTGGGGTCATGCAATCATATGCTTTTGCCCAAAATATCTCTATGGGACTATAGAATATTGTTGCAACATTTTGGCACCATTCATAAAGAAAAGGTCAGCACCAGACATTGAAGGTTGTACAGCATCAAGGTTGTGAGGTAGATTCAAGCATAATGGCACATGTCTGTAGACCTAGCTACTCTAGAGGCTAAGGTTGAAGGATCACTTGGGCCCAAGAATTTATAGCTAGCCTGGGCCACACAGCAAGACTCTGTCTCAAAACAAATAAAGAGTTAGGTTTCTCACTTGTAAGATCTGAGAAAATGATTTGCCTGCAAATATACTCTAACACGAACAGATTTTCTTCTTCTAAGTTCTATTTCTGTGACAGTTCATTTACAAAACCCAATGACCCAAAAGTTTCCAGCTAGTTTTTGTGGGCCCTCCTTTTTTCTACCTATTATGGAATAGGGAGTTTTAGATTTCTGGCAGTATGGTCTGTTGTGGTGTTTTTTTTTTGTTTTTTGTTTTTCTTTTTTAATCTAAAAAGTCACTGAATGGCTGGGTCCATTTATCCAGGAAACCAATTGGTTCACTACAAGGATATAAGACCAGGAGAAACTGGTAGTTTCCCAAGGAAATTGTGTACAACATCAATGATGTGGTTAAATGCTTTAGCCAGTTTCTAAGCAAACTATATTCATGTGTTGGACTCATAGTAAGCAATGACTAAGGATGTGAACGTGATCTTAAGAGCACTCGCCTCTCTGTCCTTCGATTTGACCTAATCCTCTCAAATGGCTCAGGCAATTGATAAACCCAGCCTAATTCCCTCTTAAGATTTGGAGCCATCTCACCACAAAGGCATAAAAAGTTAATTTCTGCTTTACTATGAATTACTGCAATTTCTAAACTTGCTTGGAATGCCTGCCCTTGCCTTCAACTCACCCATGCCTGGCTTTCCCTGACCAGATAACAACCCTCTCTGAAACTTTAGTGGCACCTCATAAATTCTGGCTTTCCCTGGCCAGATAATGACCCTCTCTAAAGCTCTAATGGTGCCTCATAAATTCTGATGTTGGGTTTTAAATTTACTTCCTAAGTGCTGAACCAATAAACCTACTACTTGCCTTTGTGTTATGCTTGTCAAAATCCTGATATCTGTAAGTTCTCAAGACACCTCCTCTTTTTTTTAATTTTTTT